GCATAGGCAAGACCTAGAGCTCAAGGGGCTCTGGCTGTAGATTTTAGCTGAGGTTGAATTGAGGGTTTGCCCAGGGGGAATGTGCACCTGCCCAACGTGGACAAAAACTCTCATCAAGAGAGGTGTCAGGCTCAGGGGGAAGGCCCTGGGCCTTCCTGGTCCTTTAGACCCGCAAAAAGAGCAGAGAAAGGCACAGAATCTTAATTCTTCAACTAATTGTTTGGATATAGTTCAAACATGCTTTAAAGTGTAGCACCCTAAGCGTGGCTTTGTGAGCAGCACAGCCTGTGTACTGTGTGGTTTGGTTCTTGAGCTCACCCACACTTACGTCTGTAAAGGGTGGTACAAATACCAATGACCATCTATATTTCCTTTTCCCAGCCGAATGTTTTCTTTTAAAAAGGGGGTGGCTCTTTTCCCATCTGTGGTTTCACAATTCTTGGAAATTTTACCCTCCTTTCTTTATACTAAGAGGATGTGTTAACATGGGAATATGTAACAAGTCCCACCACTGTGTACAATATAATACACCAATAAACAATGGGAAAATAGGGTTACTGGTGGCTTTGGAAGTGACGGTTTCTGTTAGGTGGGATGGCCGAGGTGGGATTGATAATGTCAGAAGCGCCCCTGTCTTCTCTGTGGGTTTAGATAAGAACTGGGGCCTGGCACTGTGGTGGCAGGAACAGGGCAGTTGGAGGTCTCCCTCTCAGGACTGAAGCAGTGTGGCTCAGGTGGCGGTGTCTGCTGGTTTTCCTCATGGTGTGGGTGTGCGGCAGACCTGGGAGTGGGGCGAGGCTGGCGGGTGTTCCCCCTGTCCACTCTGCACCCCAGGGTGAGCCCAGCCCATCCTGAGCTGTGGCCCAGCGCCAGGCCTCCCCTGGGGTGGGAAGGCTCATTATTCTGCTTTCCTTTACCTTTGAAGATCTTTCTTGATGCGCATTTGTCTAAGATCATGAGGCACATGCACAGGATTTTGGGTTCCATCCCCAACACTGCAAAAGATTAGCAAAATAAAAATGAAAATCAAGACAAATAAAAAGAATAACCAGTTAGAGGGACTCCTAGCCCCCTGCCTGTGACCTGCAGTTGGCTCGTGTGCCACCCAGACCACTGTGGCGCACACTGCCCTGTGCCCGTTCAGGGGATGAAGAGCTGGGCACAGACTGAGCGTGAGGCGGCCAGATGCTGTCACGTGCTGGGGACATCAGCCTGCTGGGTATTGTAGGTTCACCTGTCTTCAACTCCGTTGCTTGAAACTTTCAGCCCTGCCTGCATGCCGCGTCCTTCAGTCTGTTTTCAGAAGGGTGGGGTGGACACAGCATTTCATCTTAGCTATGCGCTAGACGCACAGACCCGGAGAGCAAGCTGTGTGCACGCTGCTCCTGCGCTGGGTGGTGGCTGTGTGGCCTCCAGAGAAGGAGCCTGCACCTCTGGGTCCTGCTCTTGGTTGTCAGCAGCTCACAGGGAGAGGACTTGAGGGCAATGAGCGAGAGCCGGGACACTGGGACACCTCAGCACCTGTCATCTGCCTTGCTATCTTCCTGTTGGGATGGATCCTTTGAAAGCCAGTTCTGGGTGCTCAGATAGAAGAGCAGGCCAGAGACGTGGTGCAGGTCTTTCCCGGGAGCCTGGTGGGCTTTCTGAACCAGCCCATCCCAAGCACAACTCACGCCTCTCACAGCAGGTGGGGACACAGGCAGTGAGTGGCACTGTGCCTCGCCTGGGCACACCTCCACCAACACACAAGTTCCAGTGCATATGGAAGTAGCTGCGTGTCATGTGCAGGAGGCGGGGGCAGCGGAGGAGGCGCCTGTGTGGCAGATCTTGGCCACTCTGTCCGCAAGCTCGCCCTCTTCCAGTGACTCGCCACCTGCCTTGGGAAGTGCCCTCCCCCAGCCTCACTGGGAGGTCGAGACAGGGCTGGGTGATCACCCACATGGCCATCCTCGCAGGGACTCCTGAATCAACCTTTAAATTTTTCCTGTTTTTTACATTTGAGCCTCTCCGAGTCCGGGGAACAGGGTCATGGTCTCTTGTGCACAGATGAAGAGTGTCTGGTGTTGACGGACTTGCCAGGGTGCTAGGACCAGGTCCTTTGACCCCAAAGCCCTTTCTCTTTATTGGACCCGCGGCACTGGGCTCTGGGAGGAAGGGTACACTGTCTCTTCCCGCTCTGGAGATTCTGCACTGTCAGCACACAGTGACTGGAGCAGGGGCAGGTCTGAGAGCCTGCAGAGCAGGGTCTGCGCGGCTCCTCTCAGCTGGCCCGTGGGCTCTGCAGCGCGCTCCTGCGGCTAACCACAGGCTGCTGACAGGGAGGACGTCTGTGGTTAGGCCGGAGTGCACCCCCAGGGGGGCGGTGAGTCAAGAAGCAGGTCCGGGCACAGCGGAGACGGGAGACGCTGCGAGCCCTGAGCCATCAGCCTGCGGATGGCACAGGGTGCGGGAGAGACCTGGCTGCTCTTTTTTGAACAAAGGCATTCCCTCCTGTGCGCCATTGCAAATGATGGTAGTAGACACCTGGCTTCCAAGCAGAGGGCAGGCTACCATGTCCTCCCTGTGGTCAGGACTCCCTGGGACTCGAGAGACCTTTGTTTTTAAATTCTATCTGTTGAGGCTTTGCTCCATCATCAGAGATGTTTTTGGATATCAAATGCAGGAGTGTGTGTGAGAACACAAGTGCACATGTGTGGCAGGGACCTGGCAATGACAAGTGGTCACTTGACAGCATTCAGTGATTGGAACCGTAGTAATCATCCTCTCCAGCTTACCTTGCTGGCTAAGGTCAGCAGCGGAGGATGCCTTTTTCCTCCCTCCGCCACGTCTCTTGTTTCCGTTTCTCAGTCCACTGTGGGCTGCTGCGGCCTCTCTCCAGCCTCTAATCTGCGCTCCTCCTCTCTGGCCTGCCTTGCCCATTAGGCAGGCTGCTTGTCACCAGTCCAGTCCATCTGTGTTTTCTGGATCCACACTGGGCGCCAGGCCTCGGCAGGCCCGGTTGCCACTCTGCAGCACCGTCTCCTCTGGGCAGTGACTCACCCCTCTGCTCTCTGGTCTGAGCCCCGGGCCCTGTGGCCCTTAAGTTCCAGGATGCGGTGGGGAGGCTGGTTGAAGATGTCCACTGGCTGCTGCCAGCAGAGCAGCTTCTCTCCTTATGCCAGTGTGAGTTCCACCCCGTGTGGGTGGTGGCAACCTTGCCGTCATCACACTGCAGCCAAGACGGCTTGGGTACCAGAGCCAGATGCTTGAGCTGGAGCAGGAGGGCCGGGGGCTTGGCTTCACGCGGCTTGGATCAGATCGGAAGGGCTCTGGGGCTGGCGCGCCCTCTCTGGGCCTGAATTTCTGTGATCTGTAGTGTTGCATTCACCATCAGCGATGCCCATCCCAGCCATTGTGTTCGGTGTAGAAACAAAGGAAGCGACGGGCGTGCCAGGACCATGACTCTGAGCGCCGGGAGGGGCTGGTTCTCTCTCGCTGAGTGCTGCGTGCCAAGCCCGCTGCCAGGCTCTGGGCAACGGGGTGCAGAGACATCCAAGGTCCCTGCCGTCCAGTGGGGGAGGAGCAGGAACTTTCCTGGAGCATGTGCTGGGAGACTGGGGGTGGCTGTGGGGACTCTGCCTGGTGGTCTGGGCATCATACTCTACCCCGCTTACACAAACTGGGTACCATTTCTTCCAGGAATCGTCACCTGATTGTCCCAGGCTGAGGTGACAGAGGCTGCGGGTGCCGAGGACTTCCCTGGGCTCCGCTCCATGTTCCTCCCTGGCATTACTTTGTGCAGCTGGGGTGGAACCCGTGGTCTCAAGCAGGGTCAGGGCTCCACACTGAGCGCCGCCCCAGCCTCTTCTGTTTTCTATGGGGAGACCTGGGTCCTGGAGGCCAAGCTATTGCTCCTGCCACCTGCAGGCCAGGTGGGACAGCGTCCTGACTGCAGAGACCCCACACCTCACCGTCATCCCCAGGACCCTCTGCTCTGGCCCTGCCTCGCAGTTGTCTATGACAATTAATGCTGCTGTGTTGTCCCTGGTAGCCCCAGAGCTCCCGAGGCACGGGACTGCCTTCCTTGACACAGGAGCCATGCCGAGCACTTTCTAGAAGCCTATTCCAAGTCCCTGAGTTCATGACCAGCCAGCCCCGGTCCTGTGTATGGACGCTGCAGACTTAGGTGTGTTGTTCTGAGAAACCTGCTCGGTAGGCTGCGGTGGAAGCAGTGCTGTCATGTGCACCTGGAGAGAAAACAGAGATTCTTTCATATAAAGAATAACTTTAGATAAAAGGTGTCTGTTTACAAACATGGACTTTTTGAGAAGTCTTTCCTCTCAAATGTACAGCAATCATGCTGAGCCCCTGCTTACCGCTGCAGGGAAACCCGGGGCAGTTGTGGGGGAGAGGGCAGCTGGCCACTCTATATGTGATAGGTCTTCAGCCTGGGGCATCTGCCTCCGTGCCCTGGCTCTGAGCAGGAGGGGACAGGCCTGATTGCATGGCTCCCTGTTGTCCCTCAGGGAGGGCTGGGTTGAGTCCTGACTCTCAGTGCTGCAGAGCACTGAATCTGGCCCCTGAAGGGTCCTCACTCCACCATGCGCCCTGTTGCTTGTGGAGTGGGGTCCTGCTGCTCCTGTCCCAGCATTGCGGACGCTGCCCTTTGTCCAGGGACTTGAGTGACACCAAGGCCATGCAGTATGATACTAGTCCAATTTTATGTCATCCTGTTTCTTAAAAACAACACACTTAGGGCAAAAAGAATTCCATCCCAGAGGTCATTTGAGAGAAGCAAGCTGAAGTCCACTCTGGTGCCAAGGGGAGGACAGCTGTGTGCCTGGGAACATGGTGCACACCAGAACTTGGTGGTAGCCAGAGCCCAGAAGCAAGACCAGGGATAGGACAGTGGGGAGGACTCTCAGGCAGGTCCCGGTGCAGGCTCATCTGGCCCGTTCCCCCACGTCCTTGTCGACACTTACTGTTGTCTGTTGATAGCTGCCATTCTGACCGGCGTGAGAAACAGCATGGAGCGCTTCAGAATCTGCATACCGTCCTTGCGCAGGGGCCATGCTCATCTTCTCTGCATCATACGTGCTGCCGCAGAGAGCACAGGAAGTCACATTGCTGATGCGGAAGCCACCGGCTCCATGTGACTTTGTTGTGGCAGCCCTGGCATGGTCGCGTGCCTGGACCCAGCAGGTGGACCCGGGGAAGTCCGGGTGTTGGGGCCTGCAGGGCATATGTAGCCTCTGAATGGGGGTGCTCACCTGCAGGATGTTTGCCTGTGAAGTATGTGGAGGGGATCGAAGCTGCTGGTACTGCGGCCATCTGGGTGTCCGTCTCAGGGCAGTTGGCAGGTTATGGGGTTATGGCTCTTGCTCATCCTTGCTCTGGCCCTGTGCTCATTTGTGCTGTCCTGTGTCTTCCAAGGTTGCGCCCCTGTGCCTCCGGTGGTCTCTGTGCACAAGGGCCTCTTCCCCCTCTGGTTGAGTGGACAGTGAATGAATACATCGTTTTCTTGAGAGCCAGTTATTTAGAATGCTTGTATTATTTGGCTATTTTTGAATTGATAAAATATGTATAACAAGACTTGAGATATTAAGCATTTCCAGTGTACAGCCCATGATGTAGATCACATTCCAGTGCTGAGCAGCATCACCTCTATTTCTAATTCTTCCCTCACCCCAAACAACTCTACTTATGAAGCAGTAACCCCCTTCTTCCCTCTCCCACTCCTGATAACTTCCAGTCCACATTCTTTCCCTATGAATCTGCCTGCTCTGGACATTTCATGTAGGTGGAATCCCGTAGTTGTCTTTTTGTGACTGGCTTATTTCTCTTAGTGAGTTGTTTTCAAGGTCTGTCCTGCTATACCAAGAATCAGGACGTTATCCCTTTTTATGGCAGCATAGCATTCCCTGTGTGGCTGCAGCCCGTGCTAGCCATCCACCATCTGTTCAAGGTCATGGGCTGTTTCCACCTTTGCGTTGCTGTGAGCTTTGCTGCAGTGGCTGTGGGAGTGTGCACACCTTTACGTCCACCCTCAGCCCTGCAGGGTGGGCTCTGAGGACTGGAACCACAGGAACCATGTATTCTCGTGAAACCATGTAGTACCTCCCACAGGGACTGCCCCCGAGATCCTGCAGCCAGGCTGCAGGGCCATTTTCCTGGGTGCTGCCAGTGCCCCCTGGCTTCAGTTCTCCTGGTCACAGCAGGTCTGGTCTGGGAAGGGGCAGCTTGTGGTGATTTTAGTTTGCATCTCACTGACTCTTGACAAGGAGCATCTTGTCCTGGGCTCAGTGGCCATTTGTCCATCTTCCTGGGGACTTCGTTTAAGGCTTGTGCCCATTTTTAGGTTGGGTAAACAACCCAACCCTTTTTGTTATCGAACAAAATGGTTGAAAGTGAAAAGACAAGTATGTGCTGTTGACGAGGGCAGAGGTTCCTGCACTCGGCTTTCTAGGGGCCTCTGACGGCTCTGGATGTTCAAGGTTAGGGTGATCGTCCGTCCCTCCTGCTTTCTTCCACTTTTGCCTGTTGCTCACATTTCAGGTGGAGCCTCAAATGGCACTCCAAGAAAGGACCAAACTGCACAGTTTCACTTGGAAACTCCGACGGCTCAAGCATTTAAAGTGCACTTTAAGGAGTCAGAGAGTTGGAGCGTCCGTGGATGCTCTTCAGCAGTGGCACTGCTCCTGAAGACTCCTGGGCCCGGCTTTCCAGCCTGTCTTGGCCTGGCAGTGTGAGGCTGGGCTTTGAATGTGAAGAGGCAAATGGCCCTGGGTAGATCTGAACAGTCAGCTGAGGACTCGGGTTGACTGTCCATTGACAGCAGAGAACCAGTGGAGCTGTGGGGCACGGGGACAGGTGCCATGGCAGCTCCCTGCACACGCTGGGCACTGTGTCCTCAGCTGGGCCGAGGCTTCCCGTCTGTGCAGCTTGGAGCGCGCAGCTGCAGGGGGTGTTGAAGCTGGGCTGAGTGTGGAGGCGCAGGGGAGCGCACCCTGCTCTGCCTTCTGGGACGAGCAGCTCCGGCCCTCGCGCTTCTCCTTAGGACTATTAAGAAAGAAATCTGTGGTGACCTTCAGGCCCAGAATCAGTTTGATTCACCACCTCCCTTTCTTTGCCCAAATTGGATGTGTTCTTATTTTTAATACCCTGCCTTGTTCCACGAAGGGTTTTTGATCCTTCTAGCCCCCGGGGAAGCTTCTTGGGTCACTCACAACATGCTTTTCCCTCCCCGGCTGTCCCCTTCCCTGAAAGAGGCCACTTTCTTGCTGCTCCTTCCCCTGAGGTGCCATTGGTGTACAGTGTGAACTTACTGAACAGAGCAGTTTGATAAGTTCTGACATGTACCCGACTGTGGAACCGTGCCCGAAGCCAGAGCAAGGACACCCTCCCCTCCCCTGGGGTTTCTTTGTGCCCCTTGTCGGCCTGGCCCCTCCACTCCCTGTCACTGTCCATCAGTGCCCTTCCTGCAGTGCTTCTCAGATGCAGTGGTGGGCTGTGCACCCCGTGCTGGGGTTCTTCCACCTGCATGGTAATGGAGAGCTCCGTCCGTTGTTGGGGTGTCGTATTGGCGTTGCTGGGCACCGTGGTGTGGACATGCCACAGTGTCTGCATTTACTTGTTGATGACATCTGGACGGTTTCCAGCTTTGGGCTGTTGGAGATGAGGCTGCTCTGAACATTGGTGTCCAAGCCCTGGTGGGGGTCAAAGCCCTCGTTGGTCGTGGGTGAGTACCTAGGGACGGAGCCCTTGGATCATGCAGCTGTGCATTTAGCTGTCTGCGAAAGTGACTGTACCAGGTCACAGCTCTTCCTGGGCCAGAGTTCCGGGTGTCCACCCTCTCACCAGCACTCATGTGCTCAGTCTTCATTTTCAGACCGTCTGGTGGGTATGAGACGAGAACACATTTTGGTTTTAGTTTGGGTTCCCTGCGACACGGTGTTGAGCTTTTTTGCCATCAGTAACCCCAGCTACTTGGGAGGCTGAACCATGAGGTCTGAAGGTTTGAGGGCAGCCAGGCTTGAGACCCTGTCTTAATTTTTTTTTTTTTTTTTAATAAAAAGATAGGAATGTAATGCAGTGATAGAGCACTGCCTACCACACGAGGGGCCCTGGGCTCACTCCCGGAACCACACAAAAATGAATAAAGAAAGACCTAAAAATTTTTAAATAAAACAAATTGTTTGCTCTCCTCCTGCGTTCTGGGTCCTGTGTTCTGGGTCCAGTTCTGGCTGAGGAGCGTGACCTGCAGACATCGCCTGTTCTGCAGCCTGCCTTCCACCCTCCTCACTGTACCTCTTCAAGGGCAGCGCTTGAGTCTGATGAAGGTCCACTTGCCGTCTCGTTTCTCTTGTGGAATGGGGTCCTGTCATCCCATCTAGAGACGGTTGCCTAAGTGGGCCACAATGGTCATCACCTTTCCTTCTGGAAGTCTTACTGTCCTGTCCTGCATGAGGTCTGTGATCCATTTTGAGTTAATTTGCTTACATGGTGACAGGGGGTTGGCATTTGTTCTGAGTGTGGCTCTATCATTGTCCCAGCCTAATTTAATGGAAAGACTCCTTTCTCCACTGAATTTCCTTTACCGTTGTCCACGTACACAAGGGTCCATTTCTTCACTCCCTGTCCCCATGCATTGATCTGTTCACCCAGACCCCACAGCCCCATCACTGTGGCTCTGCAGCGACTGAGTCAGGTGCTCATCTTTCAGCTTCGTCCACCAAAATTGCTTGGGCTCTTCCAGGTCCTCTGCATTTCCATGCACGTTTCAGGATCTGCTTTTCAATTCTACAAAAAATGCTGCTGGAATTTTGATTGAGACTGCATTGAAGTGATGGATTTAATTTTTCTGCAAGGAAAACTGCTGTCTTAACAAATCTTCCATCTATTTAAGACTTTGATTTCTCTCAGTGGTGTTTTCTGAGAGTAAAAGTAATGTTTCTCCTCTGTGTACAGATCCTAAACACCTTTTATCATATGGATCCCTAACCATTTCTTATTTTTATAATATAATAAATATTTCAATTATTTGATGCAAGGATATGGAAATGCAATTTATTTTTCTGTGTTGATCTTTCTTCCTGTAAACTGGATAAACTCAAAAGTTCCAGAAGATTTCTAGTAGATTCCAGCAGATTTTCTAGTTGTACCACTGTGTCACCTATGGAAAAAAAAAAAAATCTTTTTTTTTTTTCTTCCTTTTCTAACCTAATTGGAATACCCGATTTCCCTCCTTACCTATTGGCTGGCAGGAGCCTCTGGGACAATACTGCCTGTGCTCTTCCTCAGTGTTGCATGGTGTGACATTTGTGGAGGGTCTTCCGTCTGTGTCCTTTTTCCCATGGAGGAATCCAGTTCCTTTCCCAGCCGCGGGGCCATCTGCTTGTCTCTTTGCCTAGGCCCTGGGCGGTGCTTTCTTTAAAAGAGCTTGTCTGTTTCAGCCAAGGTTCTTAACATCGCCTTATCCTTTCAGTGTCCGTTGGTGTGGGGATGGCATCTCTCTTGTTGCTGATCAGATATTTCATGTCTTTTCTCTCTTCGTTTCCTCATCGCTTTGGCTACAGGTTGTGGATTCTATTTCTTTTCTCCAAGAGTCGGTTTAGTTTTGTAAGCTCCCTGTTGTTTTCCTCCTGTTCCGCCGAGTCCTGCTGGTCCAGTGCTCCTTACTTCTGCCTATTTTGGGTCTCGCAGGGTGGCCTGCGGGTGCTTCCCTCGTCCCCGTCTCCTTTCTCTCTGAGGTCGGTGTCCCCGATATTAATTCCTAGGCGCTGTTTTGGTTCCCTCCCTCCCGTGTGTGACACACTGCGTGTTTGTGTTCTTCAAACTCAAACTCCTTCCTAATTTCCCTCTCTTCCTTCTTTCTTTGTGGTGCTGGTGGTGAACACAGGCTGCACTGTGCTGTGCCACTGAGCCACACCCAGCCTGAGTCGGGGCTTGTGACATCGGGTCTGGCTGGTTTCCTTTTTACACGTGGGCATCCAGTACCATCTGCTGAAGGGCTGGCTTCGCCTCTACCCACTAGATGGCCTTTGCTCCTTGTGGAAGGCTGGCGGGCACATTGGTGGGGTCTGTCCTGGACTCTTCCGTCCCCCTTATCTCTGTGTCTGTTCTCTCTCTA